CACGGGAGCATTGCTGCTGCCTCAGTTTCCCGGCCTGCAAAATGCTTGGGGGGAGGCACAGCTCTGCCCTCCCTGTAGTGCTGGGGCAGCAGGCAGGGCACAGCGGCCTCCTGGGGGTGGCACACAGAGCTCCAGCCCGGGGGGCGGCGGGGTGGGGGGGGGATGCTGCCTGCAGTGCCTGGACACCAGGAGGGACAGAACGGCTGCTCTGTCCCCGGTGCATCTCCCAGCCTCTGGGTCCCAGGGCAGCAGAGAGCAGAGGCTGGAAGGGGTGAGCTGGGGCTGACCACCCAGCAGCCTCTGGCACTGAAGGCCCCGGCAGCTCCTGTGCAGAGGCCGTGGCCCTCCCTCCCGTGCTCGGTAGCCCCTGATAGCCCTCGCCTCCAAGAACGTGTCCAGACCATTTGTTGATCTGGCTAAGCTCTTCGCTTTCACCCTATCTGCCAGCAAAGAGCCCCATGTTTTAAAGACCTGCTGGGTGAAAAAGAGCAACCTCATGTTAGTTTTAAACTGACAGCCTGCTGGTTTCATGTTGTGGCCCCTGTTTCTTGTCTGGGGACAGACAGTCAATAATAAATCCCCTTTTACTCTGTTCGCCTTTTGCCATAGTATGCTGTCAACTCTTCTCCTGTTCCCCCATCAAACATCTCTGTTTTCAGCTGAACAGAACTATGTGGCCTAGACAGTGTCTTTTCTTTTGTTTTTCTTAAGGAAAAGTCTTCATGTTCCAAGTCAAATCAGCCGAATCAATTCCAAATTGTGAGTCATTCAAGAACCAAATGTTGCCCTACTACTGGCAAATATCCTCCACCCCCACCTGGGGCTTCAGATGTTTCTAAATCCTTTGGTGGGCATCCTACTTGCAGGCCCAAGCCCGGAGACTTGGGATTTGGATGCCCCCGAGTTTCGCTTGCCCTCAGCTGTATGGTCGCAGGAGCAAGCTAGTAGTCACCCATTTCCTTAAAGTTGTCGTATAGCCAATGTCTTCCCACTGGAAGTGAAAGTGGGAGACTAACTATGCCTTACCTTAGTCAAGGTACTATATCCTGCCAAGAAAATGGATGTCCCTGCCAGGTAAGGTAGGGACAGGTAAGGTAGGCCTAGACAGTTTCTCTGCATAAGGAAGTCCCTCCATAGCACTCATCAGCCTTCTTGCTCTTCTCTGGACCTTCTCTAGTTCACCTCTGTCCTTGCTGAGCTGCGGCAACCAGAGCTGGGCACTGTATTGGAGGTGTGGATGCACCCTGGGTTTATAAAGGAGCATAACAATACTTTCCATTTTGCTTACAATTCTTTTCTTAATTGTTCCCTGCTTACCTCCCTCTTTGCTTACTGCCCTAACTCCTAACACTGTCTGTCCACCCCCTTCTGCACCTTGCTGCATGGCCAGAGTCTCCCCTAGGGCAGGAGAAGTCCCTGGTCCTGGCCCGTTCTCCACTAGCCCTGGTTGAGGGAACCTGGGAACAGTTGCCTTCCTGTCCCTTTGGCTGGCTGCTTCTGGGGGCTCCTGTATTTGAGGCCCCCCTGCTATAGATGCTCAGCCCTGTGGGGCATTCTCCCAGGCTATCATGGGTTCACTTTTCCAGTACCATTTCCAGGCTGGGGGGTGACCAGTGTCTGTGGCATCCTCTTCCAACAGGTGATGGGGCAGCAAGCACAGAGGAAGACCTGGATGAGAAAGAGGATGCCCAGGCGGCTGCAGTGACCACAGTGGACCCGGAGAGGCCATACCGCTGCCGGGATTGCGGCAAGGCCTTCGGGCAGAGTGCACACCTGCTGCGGCACCAGACGGTGCACACTGGGGCACGCCCATACCGCTGTGGGGACTGTGGCCGTGGTTTCGGGCAGCGCTCGGACCTGACCACGCACCGGCGCCAGCACACGGGTGAGGAGCCGTACGCCTGTGGTGACTGTGGGCGCCGCTTTGCCCAGAGCTCCAACCTGCTGCGGCATCAGCGGACGCACACGGCCGAGGCCCCCTTTGCCTGCTCCTGCTGCCCTCGGCGCTTCCGGCGCCGGGCCCACCTCCTGGCCCATGGCCGCACGCACACCGGCGAGCGTCCCTACTGCTGCGGGGACTGTGGCCGTGCCTTCCGCCATGCCTCCCACCTGCACCGGCACCGGCGCGGGCACACTGGTGAGCGCCCCCACCATTGCCCCGACTGTGGCCGCAGCTTCGGTGTCCGCTCCACCCTGGTGACCCACCGGCGTGTACACACCGCTGAGCGCCCCTATGCCTGCGAGGACTGTGGCCGCCGGTTTGCTCAGAGTGCCTCGCTGCACCGCCATCGCCGCACCCACACCTGCGCCCGGCCTGGCCGCCGTGGCCCTCACCTGCTGCTGGAAGGTGGGGATTGCACCTTCAACCAGAGCTCCGACCTCTTGCAGCACCAGTGCCCCACACAGGCCCCCGCCGGCGGGGACATGTCATAACTGCAGCCTCCTCTTCCTTGCCTGTGCTGGGACAGGAGAAGGAGGGGACTGCTCTCTGGTGAAACCAGCCATGACATCTTGGGAGAAACCCAGTCTCCCAGGTGCTGCAGCTGCAGGGTGGGGAGCTCTGGAGGCTTTGCCTTTTGTACAGACATACCATAACCAGTGCTCCTCTGCAGCCTTCTCTTCCTTACAGGAGAAGCAAGGGACAGCTCTCCGGTCACCACGGCCATGACTGCTTGCAGGGGGAAACCCATTCTCCCAGGTGCTGTTGCTGATTCAGCCCCCCTCGGGCTGTATTTAACCACTTAACAGTGCCCCCTGCTCCACAGAGTGGCTACGTGATGCTAGGAACAGAAGTGTGGCCTGGTTCCTGCCCTGAGACCTCTTGTCTCCCCCTTGCCCCCGGTCAATAAAAACCCATTGGAAAATCATGAGTGTTGGGCCATTACACAGGTA